AAAGGAAGGGAGAAATAAATCCTAGATGCCTCAAAGAAACCATAGGTCAAAATCCAAATATTAAGAAAGCAAAGAGAGGGATTACAGAGAAGTGAGAAACATATTACTGCAAACCAGAGGAAAGAGAATGTTTATCCTGTAGTGGCCAAAAGATTAGCAACACTGTTGCCTGCAGTGACGTGGAAAGTAGAAAATATAACAAATACACCAGGTAATCCAGCTAAGATTTCCAGCCAGAGTGTTGGAGAGGCTGCTTGATTTCTTCTTGTTACTTATAGTAAAAGGCAAGAGGAGAGAGAGAAGGAATATCTCTCCTAAAGGAAGAAATGTTAAACATGAAAGAGAGAGGACTTGAAGGTTTCGAAGATTCTCAACCTCCTCGTGTAGTGAATAATTAACTTTACCCAAAGCGAGGTCTGGTTTTTGTCCCAGCTCCTGGAAGGGAACCTCTAAACCTTTGGAATTTCCTGAGTGATGGCGGCGTCTTTGCTGTTCACTGTGTCCTCTGGATAGTTCATGCTAACCAGCTGACTCATGGCGAACCCCTAGGTAGTTTATGCTGATGAGGTAACTCAGGATGGAGGCTGACCATGCAGAAGGAACAACCATGTGATTAAAGAGCTGGGGCTTTGGTCCACACAAAATCAGCCTGATCCAGGGAAGGTAGTGGTGGCACTGGAGACTGAATTCAAGGACATGGACAGCAATTTGCTCAATCACGCCTGTGCAGTGAAACCCCAATGAAAACTCTGAACACTGATGCTTTGGTGAGCTTCCTGAGTTGGCATTGCTCTGCACATATTGCTACATATCAATGCTGGAAGGATAACATGTCCCTGAGGACAAGAAAACTTTCCATTTGGGACCCTCCAGTCCCAGATTCCAGCTATGAATATTTTCCTTTGAATGTTTCTGATTTGTATTCTTTTGTTATAATAAAGCTACAATCCTAAGTATTGCACTTTCTGACTACGATGAACACCTCTAGCAAGTTATCAAGCCTGAGGGAATCTACAGGAGTCTGGGTATCTCCACATTGGTGGGCAGCTGGTCTAACGTGAGGGTGGCCCCGGGGACCTTCAAACTTGTGGCTGATGTCAGAAGTCTTGGGCAGACTTGGTGGTCAGGAGAACCATGCCATTAACCTTGAGCTGGTTGACTGCAGGAGCCCTCAGATGGCAAATGATGCTAATATTAAGAAGTGTCTCTGAGCCAGCCTGGTGAAATCCTCCTCTACTAAAACTACAAAAATTAGCCTGGCGTGGTGGTGGATACCTGTAGTCCCAGCTAGTAAGGAGGCTGAGACCAGAGAATCATTTGAACCTGGGAGTTAGAAGTTTCAGTGAGCCAAGATCATGCCACTGCACTCCAGCTTGGGTGACAGAGTGGGACTCTATCTCAAAAAAAATAAAATAAAATAAAATAAGTGGTCTCTGAGCAATGCAGAGCACCCCTGGGCCAGGCACAGTGGCTCATACCTCTAATCCCTGCACTTTGGGAAGCCAAGGTGGGAAGTTAAAGCTCCCACTTGAGCCCAGGAGTTCAAGACCAGCCTGGGCTATATAGCAAGACCCTGTCTCTATTTTTAAACATTCTTTTTCATTACTAAAGTTCTTTATAATGAAAGAACTTCTGGGATGGCACGGTGGCTCATGCCTGTAATCCCAGCACTTTGGGAGGCCAAGGTGGGTGAATCATGAGGTCAGGAGTTTGAGACCAGCCTGGCCAACATGGCGAAACTCTGTCTCTACGAAAAATACAGAAAATTAGCTGGGCGTGGTGGCGGGCACCTGTAATCTCAGCTACTCGGGAGGCTGAGACAGAAGGATCGCTTGAACCAGGGAGGCAAAGGTTGCAGTGAGCCAAGATCACACCACTGCACTTCAGCCTGGGGACTCTGTCTCAATTAAAAAAAAAAAAAAGGAAAAGAAAGAACTTCAGATATTTGCCCACATGGATGGACCAGGGATATATGCATGCTCCTCTTCCCCTCCTTTTTGAATAGTAGTGTCTATTCCTGTCTTATCATTGTATATTGAGTAGTGGGTGACAGATGACTTGTCTCCATTAGTCCACAAGCCAAAATATTGAGAGGAACGGTACTCAAGGAGCTTCACCAGCACGCAAACTAGACTCAGATGATCAGACTCTGGACTTCAAGCTGATGCTGTAATGGGAAGAAACTTTGGGAGTCTTTGGGGGGCCTTGAGAGGAGGGTGAGTGTATTTTGCATGCGTAAGAGACATCAGTTGTTGGAAGTTCCCGAGGATCCCCGCCTCTTGATGTTCACACTCTTATGCTGTTGCCTGCCTCCCACAGTGTACAGGATTTATCTATAGGACCAAAACAATATGGCAGAAGTGATGTTTTGTCACTTCTGAGAGGAGGCTATGAAAGACTGTTTCTTGGCCAGCCGCAGTGGCTCAAGCCTGTAATCCCAGCACTGTGGGAGGCCGAGGCGGGTGGATCACGAGGTCAAGAGATCGAGACCATCCTGGTCAACATGGTGAAACCCCGTCTCTACTAAAAATACAAAAAATTAGCTGGGCATGGTGGCGTGTGCCTGTAGTCCCAGCTACTCAGGAGGCTGAGGCAGGAGAATTGCCTGAACCCGGGAGGCGGAGGTTGCAGTGAGCCGAGATCGCGCCATTGCACTCCAGCCTGGGTAACATGAGTGAAACTCCGTCTCAAAAAAAAAAAAAAAAGAAAGACTGTTTCTTCTGTCTGGGACTTGTTCTTTCTGTCTCTCTGCTTCCCCATTTGTCTCTTTCTCTCTTGGTTGGATTGCTTGCCTTAGGGAAGCCAACTGCCATTTTGTTAGGACTCTGAGGCAGTCTATATAGAGGCTCACGTGATGAGGAACTGAGGCCTCCAGACAAAACAAAGTGAGGGACGGAGGCCTGCCAACAACCTTATGTGTGTGAGCTTGGAAGAAAACCCTCTAACCCCAGATGACTGGAGCCCTGACTGAGGGTTTGACTTCAACCTCATGAGAGACTCTGAGCAAAAGCTAGCAGCTAAGTTGCTCCTGAATTCTGACACTCAGTCACCATGTGACATAATAAATCTTCGCTGTTTTAAGGTGTTAAGTTTTTAGGCAATTTGTTACACAGCAATAGATAACTAATACACCAGGCCACTGTCATTTTATCTATGCACTCAATAAATTATCCACTTAAATATCACCCATCCATTTTTCATCCATCTATCAAAATATCCATCCAAACATTCATCCGCCCACCCACCCACCCATCCATCCATCCATCCACCCATCCACCCAGCTATCCATCCATTAAAATATCTGCCTAAACATCATCCATTCATCAACCAACATCTACCTAATAAATACAATGGTCCATTCATCCTTCCATCCATCCCTCTATCCTTCCATCTATCTATCCCTTCATCTATCCATCCCTCCATCCATTCTTCTATCCATCCATCCATCCATCCATCCATCCCTCCATCCATCCCTCTATCCCTCCATCCCTCCATCCATCCCTCCATCCATCCATCCATCCACTCATTCCTTTACCCATCCCACTACCCTTCTCTAAAGCCACATATGGGAATCCCCAGAACAGAGGGCTGAGGATTACTCCTTCCATGCCAGCCCTTACCTGAGCTACATCTAAATCTGTCTCCACTGCCTCAGTGTCTTTCCCAGAAGTGAAGAGTCTGTGCACATTCTCTGTGCCCACAGGTAGTTCATCTGGGAGATCAGCCTGTGGAGAGACGGAGGAGAGACTTAAGGAAATCTTGAGCCTGGAAGGTATCAACAGTAAGACAGTCTGCAGCTCAAGGGTAGAGGTGGGGGTCAAATGCCAGGCACCAAGGCACCAAGGGGGTCCAATGGCAAATGCAGATGAGTTTTGAACCTGGGTGTTCAAAAGTCAGAGCACCTAGGTGTATGTAGGCTGACAGGCCAAACATGGAAGGATAGAAAGATCAGAGATTGGCTGGGCTCGGTGGAGCTATGATTGTGCCCCTGCACTCTAGCCTGGGTGACAGAGCAAGGCACTGCTTAAAAAAAAAAAAAAAAAAAATAAGGGGGGGGGCACGGGGGCTCAAGCCTGTAACCCCAGCACTTTGGGAGGCCGAGGCGGGTGGATCACAAGGTCAAGAGATCAAGACCATCCTGGTCAACATGGTGAAACCCCGTCTCTACTAAAAATACAAAAAATTAGCTGGGCATGGTGGCATGTGCCTGTAGTCCCAGCTACTCAGGAGGCTGAGGCAGGAGAATTGCCTGAACCCAGGAGGCGGAGGTTGCAGTGAGCCGAGATCGCGCCATTGCACTCCAGCGTGGATCACGAGAGAAAAGCTCCGTTTCGAAAAAAAAAAAAAAAAAAATCAGAGCCTAAGGCCAAGACTTTCCTTTTTTGATTTTTTTTTTTTTTTAGAGATGGAGTTTTGCTCTCATTACCCAGACTGGAGTGCAATGGTGTAATCTCGGCTCACTGCAACCTCCACCTCCCAGGTTCAAGTGATTCTCCTGCCTCAATCTCCCGAGTAGCTGGGATTATGGGCGCCCGCCACCATGCCTGGCTAATTTTTGTATTTTCAGTAGAGACAGGGTTTCACCATGTTAGTCAGGCTGGTCTTGAACTCCTGATCTCAGGTGATCCGCCCACCTTAGCCTCCCAAAGTACTGGGATTACAGGTGTGAGTCACCGCACCTGGCCTGAGGCCAAGACTTTCAAACAAATTCTCTGGGGTTAAAGGTCTTGGAATCTGGAGTTTTAGGGGGAAACAATGGAGAGGCCAGCTGTCTCAGGGGTGAAGGGTGAGGTCAAAGGTCACAGACTGTATTTCTTCACAGAGAAGATATTTTCTTGGGGTGGAGAGTGGGGATGAAGACAGTCAACACTGGACAGTATGGACCCACTGAGGTCAAAGGTCAGACTATCTGCACACTAAATAGTAATAGTAACTGGTATGATCTATTGAGTGCCAACAGGTGCCAGGCCCCTACTGAGTGCTTCTCATGAATGCTTTCACTTAATTCTTAGCATAACCAATCATGTGGTAACTTGTTATTATCTTTCTTTTGCAGGTGAGGAAATTAAGGTCTTCAGAACTCGCTTGCCCAGCCAGGGTAATGCAGCTGATAAATGGCAGATTTAGGATTGAATCTATGTCTGTGTAAATCAGGACATTAGACGTTTTGACTCTTTGAGGTCAAAGTTCAGAGAGCTGGATGCTTGGTCATAAGCTGGAGAGGGAGGAGGGTCATCTGTGCCAGCTCCAAACATCTTAGGTTGGGGGCCTCATGTGGTTTGGCTGTGTCCTTACCCAAATCTCATCTTGAACTGTAGCTCCCATGACTCCCATGCATTGTGGGAGGGACCCGGTAGGAGACAACGAATCATGGGGGGGTTTCCCCCATACTGTTCTCATGAAAGTGAATAGGTCTCATGAGATCTGATGGTTTTATAAGGGGAAGCCCCTTTCGCTTGGTTTTCATTCTCTCTTGCCTGCTGCCATGTAAGACGTACCTTTCACCTTCCGCCATGATCGTGAGGCCTCCCCAGCCACGTGGAACCGTGAGTCCATTAAACCTTTTTTTCTTTATAAACTACCCAGTCTCGGGTAGGTCTTAGGCAGCATGAAGACGCACTAATACAGGGCCTGTGGTGTTGTTTGATATATATGGTTTCGGGCATGGTTCCCGGGTCAAACTCTCATGACCCTTGTTACAGTCTTTGGTTACACCGTTGGGTGTGTTAGGCCTCAGGAAACAGACTCTCTCCAGCCTTCTGCCCTCCTTTCACCTGCTCCAAGGCAGGCCTCTAATCTTCCCCTGTTTTTCTGACTGTGAGTCATAAGACTGTCCCCAGAGAGGGTTCTGTCTGATATACTGGGGGAAAGAATGCTGACATCATGATGCTTCCATAACAACCCAAGAGCACTGGGTTTGAGGGGCTTCCAGAGAGCTGACCCATGGAGGTTTCTGGAGGGTGGTGCCCAGGGATGGCATGGAAGCTCCAAGACCCTTCTTTCCCCCATAACTCACTCAATGTATCCCTTCATCTGTATCCCATGCAGTATCCTTGACAATGAACCAGTAAACCTAAGTAAGTGCCATCCTGTCTATTGTGAGCTGCTCCAGCAAATTAATCAAACCCAAAGAGCCAGGTGCGATGGCTCATGCCTATAATTCCAGCACTTTGGCAGATCACTTGAGGTCAAGAGTTCAAGACCAGCAGGGCCAACATGGTGAAACCCTGTCTCTAATAAAAATACAAAAAATTAACCGGGTGAGGCAAGAGAATTGCTTGAACCTAGGAAGCAGAGGTTGCAGTGAGCTAAGATCGTGCCACTGCACTCCAGCCTAGGCGACAGAGTGGGACTCCATCTCAAAACAATAAAAAATGTAAGAAAAAAGAAAGAAAGAAAATCAAACCCAAAGAGGAGGTCATGAGAACCCCAACTTGAAGCTGGTTGGTCAGAAATTCTGGAGGCTGGGTATGGTGGCTCACACCTGTAATCCCAGCACTTTGGGAGGCTGAGGCAGCCGGATCATTTGCGGCCAGGAGTTCAAGACCAGCCTGGCCAACATGGTGAACCCCTGTCTCTACTAAAAATACAAAAAATAAATTAGCCAGGTGTGGTGGTATACACCTGTCATCTCAGCTACTCAGGAGGCTGAGGCACTACTGCACTCTAGCCTGGGTGACAGAGTGAGATTCTGTCTCAAAAAAGAAAAGAAACAAAGAAACAAAGAAAAAAGAGCCAAGGCCAGGCTTGGTGGCTCACGCCTGTAATTCTAGCACTTTAGGAGGCTGAAGTGAGTGGATCATCTGAGGTTAGGAGTTCAAGGCCAGTCTATTTAACTTGGTGAAACCCCGTCTCTACTAAAAACACAAAAATTAGCCGGGCATTGTGGTGCACGCCTGTAATCCCAGCTACTCAGGAGGTTGAGGCAGGAGAATTGCTTGAACATGGGAGGTGGAGGTTGCAATGAGCCAAGATTGCATCACTGCACTCCAGCCTGGGTGGCAGAGTGAGACTCCATCTCAAAAATGAAAATAAAAAAGAAATTCTGGAGGCCCAGACTTGTGACTGGTGTCTGAAGAACAAGGAGCAGTCTTGGGGACTGAGCCCCAACCTGTGGGGTCTGACACTATCTGCAGGTAGATGGTTCTGGAAGTGAATTAGAGGACACCCAGCTGAGTCTGCTGCTTGGTGTGTGGGGAACATTGCCCACATTTGGTCACACAAGTCTCCTTCTGTGTTGATAACTGTTGCATTATTAGGAGAACAGAGGAGAAACATAGCTTGAGAGTTTTTCCCTAAATGGAGGCAGATTCTGGAATTCTAACAATTGAAAAATCTGGATCTGGGTCTCAAAGGAACCTAAACCTCATCTCATCCCAACCTCCTCACTACACAGATGGAGAAACTGAGTCCCAGAGAACAGCCAGGTTTAAGTCACAGGCCAAGACCACCTGGGGGACTGAGCCCTGGATGCTGAGGGCTCACATGGGTGGGACGGCTTACCGAAAGAGGACTTCGGGGGCGCCGTGTGGCTGGTGGGGTGCTGGGGGTGGCAGCTACTGAAGCCCCATCCAGGATTGGTCCCAGGAGGCGACGGAGGTCAGGGCTGCAGAAACGGCGGGGGTCAGCGGCCAGGGCAGCCTCGCTCAGGGAAGGGGGGTGCAGGAAGGCGAGGATCCGGTGGCCAGGGGCATCTGCAGGACATGTGGAGACAGGGAGGACACGGGCTGGTGACCTCAGGCTGAGGGACACAGCCCTCCACACCAACCCCAGGAACACAGTTGACATCTTCAGCAAGTCAGGACGGCCACTGTTCTTAGTGCCTCGCTCTCGCCCAGGCTGGAGCGCAGTGGTGAAATTTCAGCTCACTGCAGCTTCCCTCTCCCAGGTTCAAGCAATTCTTCTGCCTGAGCCTCCCGAGTAGTTGGAATTACAGGTGGGTGCCACCACGCCCAGCTAATTTTTGTATGTTTTATAGAGACAGAGTTTCATCATGTTGGCCAGGCTGATCTCAAACTCCTGACCTCAAGTGATGCACCCACCTCAGCCTCCCAAAGTGCTGGACTTACAGGCATGAGCCACCACACCTGGCCCAGGTGTAAACTTTAGTGGCCAGATTCTGGTAAGGCTCTGGAAGGTCCTGGGGAGGGGAGTGGTGGCCCAGAATGGCATTTGGCCATGCAGCTCTGGGGAGCTTGCACCTTAGGAGGGAAGACTGGCCCCCAGCCCTCAAGGAGGCTGTAAGGTTCCCAGAGGTTAAGACAAAGCCCAGAGCCAGCTCTGAGCCAGAAAAGGAAAGGATATCATATCAGCAATCCCACCCCACACCCAGAAGCATGGGCGGCCAGCAAGAGCTTGAAGGACAAACCGAGAGGGAGGCTCATCCAGGATGGGAGGAGAAAGAAGGAAGAGGGAGAAAGGAGCCAGACTTAGGTGGATCGAGATTACTGGAAGCCAAAGAGCAGCCAAGCCGAACAGGGAAGGAGCAGAAGCCTGGGGGCAATGTGGGGCCACAGCAGAATTTAGAGCAGAGGCCAGCACGAGACTGAAGCAACCATGCCATAGCCACAGGAGAGGAGGGAGGATGGGAGAGAGAAGAGCATTCTGGGTGGAGGAAACTGTACGTGCAAAGGCCCTGAGGCACGAGGCTGGAGCGTTCCAAGGGCTCTTAGGAGGCCGTGTGGTTTGGAGGCTGTGTGCGCAGGGAAGGGAGGCAGATCCCACAGGGCCTGGCGGGCCATGTTAAGGTACTTGGGCTTTCTCCCAAGGGCCCTGGGGATACAACCCCTCCCGGCCCCAGCCCTGCCCCTTACCAAGGCTGTCTCCAGGGTGAGAAGCGTCCTTCTGAGAGGGGCCGCCCCGCTGAATGGGTCTGCGAGAGTGTTGCTCCGTTTGCTCCAGGGACAGCACCACTCCAGTCTCTTCTACCCGGCTGGGGTACAAGGCAGAAAGGGAGATGGGAGTCAGGGAGGGTCCTTGGCTGCAGCCCAGGCGGCCCGTTCAGGTGACGTCCTATTACAAGAGGCAACGGTGCCCAGGGGCTTGGAGGGCATTTTGCAAAAAATAGTTGCCCACATTTATTTGTCTCCTATAAGGGTTTGATTTTTGTTGACTGCTTTTTATTCTGACAGCATTTTTTTTTTTTTTTAGACAGGGTCTCCCTCTGTTGCCCAGGCTGCAGTGCAGTGGTGCAATCTTGGCTCACTGCAACCTCCACCTCCCAGGTTCAAGTGATTCTCCTGCCTCAGCCTTCCAAGTAGCTGGAATTACAGGTGCACACCCTCACGCCCGGCTAACTTTGTATTTTTAGGAGAGATGGGGTTTCACCATGTTAGCTAGGTTGGTCTCGATCTCCTGATCTCAGGTGATCCACCCGCCTCAGCCTCTCAAAGTGCTAGGATTACAGGCGTGAGCCACTGCGCCTGGCCTATTCTGACAGCATTTCAAAAAGAAAGTTAAGTTTGTCCCTTTCCAGGCTCCTTCTGTAAAAGGAAAGGCAGAAAAAAGAGCTGGCATTTAGCACAGCCTGGGCAGAGAGGAGGAAGACTGAGGGATGGGGGTGGGGCAGGGCCGAAAGACAGAAGAGGAGGAGACCTAGGAACAGGGAGGGGAGGCCCCGGGGCAGAGAGAGGGTTGAGCGAAAGGCTTCAGAATACCTAAATATTCTCTTTATAGATTCTTAGAAAGGTATTGATGAAAAAATCTATTTTTAACATAGTCTTCATTATATTACCAAATAGGAAGAATTCATGGGGCTGTAATTTTTATGAATAAGATTTTATTTATGCTGTTTCTATTCATAGCTATTTTTCATATTCAAGGGAACAGGTTTATAAATACATCCTTATGTCCCAGCACCTCCCTTCACACAGTCTTTGGCTGCAGAGACGATCCAAATGCTCGCTGGGCAAATTGGCTTTTGGAGAGCTGGGTGGGGCTGAGGATCAAGCCCTCATTTGCATCTCATCTGCATAACCCCCTACAGGACAGGATGCAGGTGGGCCTGGTCTTCCCACCAGCTTCTTGAGAAGCTATGACCTCTTCCCACCCTCATGAAACCCTCCCTGGGCAGGAAACATCCCAATTTAGGCTGGATCAAAGCCACTCTTACTGCCCATAAGCACATACAACCGCACTCATACACACACTCAGCACACACCCAGTATACACAGGCACAAACAGGAGCGCTCACATACACCCAAGTGGGCACAGGGACAGAGATGCTCACACATTCCATACACTTGGGTTCAAATATATGCACATGTGCCACATTCAGTTCACTTATTCGTCATTCCACAGACACCTCCTTGTCAAGCACTACTGTGTAGTGGTTCATAGCAAGGACTCTGCAGCCAGCGGCCTGGGTTCAAATCCAAGCTCTGCTACTTACACAGCAGTGTGATCTTGAACATGAATAATAAAATGTATTATTAAAATTAGGCCAGGCGTGGTGGCTCATGCCTATAATCCCAGCACTTTGGGAGGCCAAGGCTGGTGGATCACCTGAGGTCAGGAGCTCAGGATCAGTTTGGTCCACATGGCGAAACCCCATGTCTACTCAAAATACAAAAATTGGCTGGGCACAGTGGCACACATCTGTAGTCCTAGCTACTCAGAGCCTGAGGCAGGAGAATCATTTGAACCCTGGAGGCAAAGGTTGCAGTGAACCGAGATCACACCACCACACTCCAGCCTGGGTAATAGAGTGAGACTCCGTCTCAAAAAGAAATAAATTTAATTTAATTTTAAAAATAAATACAATTAATTTCACCTGCTTCTGTTTACTTTTTTTTTTTTTTTTTTTTGAGACAGGGTCTTGTTCTGTCGCTCAGGCTGGAATGCAGTGGTGCAATCTCAGCTCACTACAGCCTCAATTACCCAGGTGATCCTCCTGCCTCAGCCTCCTGAGTAGCTGGGACTACGGGCACATGCCACCATGCTAGGCTAATTTTAAATTATGTGTAGAGATGGGGTTTCCCTATGTAGCCAAGGCTATTCTCAAACTCCTGGCCATGGCCTCCCAAAGTGTTGGGATTACAGGTGTGAGCTACCAAGCCCAGCATTCTGTTTACCTTTTTAATGTAACTACTAGAAAATTCAAAATGACGTATGTGGCTGGCATCATGCTTTTACTGGACAATGTTGGGTTAGATAGTGGTAAGTACTAGGGAAGGCCTGGCACGGTGGCTCACACCTGTAATCCCCAGCACTTTGAGAGCCCGTGGCGGGCAGATCATCTGAGGTCAGGAGTTCGACACCAGCCTGGCCAACATGGTGAAACCCTGTCTCTACTAAAAATACAAAAATTTAGCTGGGTGTGGGTGGCAGATGC